TTTTGCCCAATCGAGCCTTTAACCGAGGATTTAGCGAGGACTTTAGAGTTGACTCCAGCACAGGTTAATATCACACGACAAGATATAGTTTTCCTGCTCCTTCTGTTTGAAATACGGTTGAACAAATCGTCTGTGTTACCGACGTTTCTACAAAATGTGTTGCATTTCCAATCTCCTTTCAACAGCACTTTAGGAAACTGTAAAGTCACAATAATCAAGTCTACAAAGCGTCTCCTGAGCTGCTCCAATCTTCAGGTTTTTAAGCGGAGTGAATACACCATTCTTCGCGGGTCAGGAGTCGTAATCAAAAGTACAGGCGAATTATTACAGTCCAATGATTATTACATTGATGGAGAACCATCTAGTCCCAGTCAGTCGGTATTAGTTTGCCGTCAGAACCAAGCACTTTCCTGCTCAAAAACATGGGTTTTGATGAACGAAGGAGAATTTATAGTCCTGAARAATAAATCGGTCTTCGTAAACTCTTCTGCACGATTTTACAACACTTCGGAATACATTTGGCAAAACCGTAGCCTGTTTATCTGTGAAAACTTTGGTATTTCAGGMGTCGAGTCGAAGAAAGGAGACCGTGCATTGATAGTTTTGACTATAGTATGCATGTTAATATCGATTATTGCACTGGCCTTTGTCCTCGTCACCTATTCCTTGTTCACCGAGCTACGAACACCACCAGGTATTAACCTCATGAACCTCAGCGTTGCCATTCTTCTCTCACAACTCTTGTGGCTTTTTGTGAATTGGCAGACAAGTAAGGGCCTGGCTTGTACTGTCATCGCTGTTCTTCTTCACTACTTTTTCCTGGTTTCTTTCGTGTGGACGTCCATCATCGCCTTTGACACTTGGAGGRCCTTCACTGCWAAAGGAAGACGTTCCATGGCTGACTCGAAGCGCAAAAGACTGCTGAACAGCTTACGATATATGGGAGTTGGATGGCTGTCTGTCATGGTGTACGTGTCAATCTGTTTTGCTCTTGACCTGACCAATACAGTAACCATTGGATACCAATCTAGCGAGGTATGCTGGATGTCCAATCCGTGGTCTGTTCTGCTTTTCTTTGCAATTCCTGTCGGAATGATTTTGTTGTCCAATATTATCATGTATTTTTTAACAATGAGAGCGATAAAAACCACTACCTCCCAAGCACGAGCCGCTACGGATCACAAAAAGAACACGTTTGGTATTTACGTGCGCATCGCATCAGCCATGGGTTTTACGTGGCTCATTGGATTCATTGCTCCTTTTGAAGGAAAAGTCTTGTGGTATTTGTTTACTATTCTGAATGGCCTCCAAGGCGTGTACATTGCCCTGTCGTTTGTTGTCAACCGTCGCGTGATGAAGATGTACAAAAGACTTTTGGGACAAGCAAGTACTCCAATTCGAGCTGAAACTAGGACACAAATAAGTTCTGGAACTGAGAACAAAGCAATGGATACTAAGTTTTAGACAACTAATGGATTACCTAATTACAAACTCAAATTCATCGGTAATAAGAAATATTGCAAAAWTAAAGTGTTAGGATCCATTATTTCAGCCAAAGTACATTTCGGCTCGGTTCAGTTCGTGTCGGTTCTTCTAACCAACTTTACAATATTCTGCTTTCCTCAATAAATAGACCTAGGTGTTTACTTAGTCTGATTCAATTGATTACATCACATATGCACGTTTATGTCAAAAATATTTAAACTGCATGAAAATTATTAATGATGAACTAAACATAAAGGATTTCCATCCTATATTTACAAAGAATATAAAAACCTTGTAAAATATCTGTAAAATGAAATTTACAGGAACAATGCCTTAGTGTGACCCTGTAAAATCGCTGTATTTAAGTGTTTAAAATGTGCTGAGTAAATTCTATGCAGAGATTTCATTAACGTACAAAAGCGAGAAGTACAGCTTGTTTCCTTATGGATTAAGCAAGATTTAAAAATGATCATGCAATGTAAAGAAAGAAACATTGAAAAAATGAAAAGACTCAATCCAATGCTTGATATATTGTTACGAGGCGCCTGGCCTTCGTGAAGAATGACAAAATAGAGGTAAGAAAGTATTTTGAGATATATTTTTATATTGGAGAGCTGTATGTGGTACCATCAGCCAGGGACAAATCTCTCACGGGATGCTTCAAAACCAGACAAAACCATCCATTTCCAGAGTGTTCTAATCCCAGAAAAGGAAAGGATTGCAAATTCATGTGGGGTGAATTTTAATACCTCAGGTAAAACCCAAAAACTGTCTGAATGTGATGGGCAACCCCTACCTGTATGTATTACATAGCGCGTTTATATTGTTTAATTAACTGTCTACAGTTCTTGATAATTGTTCATTGCCAATACAGGGAAACTTAAATAGTATTGGCTAAAAAAGTTGATTCTCTACTAAATTTAGTATAATTGTGAACAGATGGCTTAGTTTTTTTCCTTGATTCTTAAATCAATTTTGTTGGTCGGGATATTAAAATCGGTGCCTTTCATTTTTTCAACGAAAAATGATGAACTTTCAAGACGTCCCCAAATTATATTTACTGTTTTGCGTAATCGCTCAGACTTCTAGGAACCATCGCTGGTATTTTTTTTGTTATAAAGTTTAGTATCATGCAGAGAAGAGTTTTATTACAAATAAAGCTATAATTATCATGTATTTGACAATTTMATTGAGTTTAATGCAATTCAATGAAGATATGTATATCGCTATAAATTCATCTGGCGACAAGCTGAGAGCTTACTTTATATCGTTCAGAGCAAGGCCGGATCAGAGCTAACAATTCTCAAAGCCCTAATAAGATAAGCATTGTTCACACCTTCAGGGATGATGTAAAGAATCATTGTTAACTGGTAAAAATGCTGTTTGGTCTTTGCCTTTGTGTATTCTTATTTGCTCACAATACTGTGACCAGCCGCGCTGATTCGGCTGCCGACAACAGCTTTCGGAGGTTTATCTTTTATCATGAAAAAGATAATATAGAACATGACACTTTAACCTTAGATCAGAGCGCTTCAAAGAAAATTCTAAAACAATCAGATTTACCGAAACACAGAAAGAGTGAAAGCCTGAGCTATACGATAACTCCGGTCAAAAAAAGTCAGAAACCAAAACAAAGMTCAAATCAAACCAAAATGACTAAGAAAAATCAATCTTATTTAACAACCTCGAATAGAGATTTCAAGAAGAAGAAAACATTGTTACGGAAACCAAGATCGTTACCTTCTTCTTCGCCATGCAGACATGAATGGTCATGTAGAAATAACTGCACTTTTCCAAGAAAHGTAATCTACKCTGAYRTGYTAGCTTGCTACTGCGATGTCGATTGTGAATTGTTCAAAGACTGTTGTGCTGATTACGGTACATTTTGTAAAGGTGAAGATAATTGGTGGAACCAAACAATCAATGCACAGAACAACACAGATAATAATAGAACCTGTGTAACCGATGAAGAATGCAATACAGACGACTATGGAAACAGCGCATCCAATAGCCCAGAAAACACGGATGATACTTCTAGCCCTGATAGTAGCAAACGGAGAAAGCGTAGTATTGCAATTCAGAAAAATTTATGGGGSTGTTTTTCCTACCCAAATATGACTAGCAGAATCAATGGAATTTGGATGATCGGATCTTGTCCAACCACCTGGTCAAAAGATAACATCTTCTACCAGTGCAGAAACCTTTCTG